CCTCCAAAACTAGGCCTTATGGCAACAGAGGACACTTGAGCCCTATTGGGATAACATGATGGACTACAATAAATAATCGTCCTCCTAAAATCTGCAAGGGCCAACTACGGGAAGCCCTCTGGTCAACACAAACCACCCTACACCTGGGGGTTACAACCACCCATTTAAATTTGGCTTGGGAGACTCAACTTTTCTGGGTAAACACTCTATATCCAAATGATAGCCAGATGATAATGCCTCAATGGAATTAACATATTTGGTGGCTAAACCAGCACTGGCCTAAGAGAGAAAAGAGGAGTATTTGGGGAGCAACAGTTGCTGGAATGGGCATTTTAGGCCAGGTGGAAGGAGCATTTAATGAATACTGCCACAGCCCAGAGAAAGAATACATAACTGAATCAGGGAAACTTGGGGCACTACTCTTTCAAAAGAAGGTGAAAGGCTTGGAAGATGCATGGAAAACTTAGGTCTTAAACAAATGAATAGATTGGATTCTAAAAATTACGACAAAAAAATGCTAAGTCTCATTTATGGGAGAGAGCTTGTGTCTCCACATAGCTAAGTTGAATGACACGTTGCTCCAGATGGAATCAGAGGTGCCTGTGAAACAGTGGCCAACCATATTAGCTGCAGAAGCCCAAGAAACTTACTTATGGGAAACTCATGGGCCACCAAACCTAAGGGATCTGAGAGAACTTGCCATCTGCAACGTTGTTCCCTGACTACTCTAGTGCCTAGACTATGGCCGAATAAAAAATATAAGGTGGTATAACTTGTGCGGATAGAGACTATCCATGACAACTATCAGATACTTCCTATAGGAAGCCAGTGGGCCTTTCTGGCCCCAAATGAAACTACACCACAATGGGAACCTATCTCGGTGCTAGATTGTAAACAACGTGAAAGGATATGGCTATGCCCACAGGAAAAATGGAATTCAGAAATAACCCTTACTTGGCCTGTGATAAAAACTCCTATCCAAAACAACTTATGGTATATGGGAAGGGATCGATTTTGCTGGGAGGGAATAAAAAATGATATTGTTCAACTGTCAGATCACCATTGAAACCAAACTGAATTTAAGATGAACAGTTCAGGCATTTGGTATAATACAGAAATTATAGGAAAATTCACCTTCCAGAGGTTAATAAGACTTACAATAACACAGATGAAGAAGTTTATGCCTATTGGGAGCTCAAATTCAGACCCCCAGCCAAGGTTAAAATCATGGAAGACGATGGCCTGAAGAAAAGCTAGATTTAGCTTCCCCAGAAGTGCGAGATGCACTTCAGTGGTTTGGGGAGACTTACCATAAAGTACAATTAACTGTAGATAAAGGAGGGAAAAGAATTGTCCAATAAGCCCAATAATATGCTGACATTTGTTCAGGGTTCATTGGATGGTTTTCTTTTTTGCTCATCTACTAACATTGATATTATAAAAACTGTATTCACAATTGTAATTTTGACTGTATTAATTATCATATTATTCCAATACTATGCTAGGTGTTGAAGGAGACAACAGGACAAGACCCAGATCACGTTAGCCAGGAAGGTTGAAGTGATCTGGAATGCGTTTTCAGTAAATGATATGTAAGATAGGCAAGGAGATGAGAGGTACCCCACTGTACCAGAAAAAAAAGAATAAGAAACACCTCACTGGTCATAAATGCAACCATGGGTTGATAATGACCAAAAGGTGGGATGTTGACAGATTTTTTGGGACCCCTCTCCCTGGTCTAACAGGCAAAGGTGGCAAGCAAACTGCATAGGCTTTAAGTCAGTACGATAAAATCCACGCTGTACTGTGAAACAGCTGTCCTGCGAAGCAGCCGTGCAGGCCATCTTCAGCCTGTGTCAAATGACCTTACAACCCCAGACCTCATGACTGAAGACACCAGCTGGACAGACCCACAACAGAAAGAGATAAAGGAGTACCTTGCTCTCACATTTCCCAGCTGCATTTCTTAGAGACTGAGGGACTAATTAAGGACCCTGGTCCTTGCCTCCCTCCACACATAGATGACATCGGCATCTCTGAACTTATTTGATGTATAACCAAGGAATTCTTGTTTGTGTCACCTTCAGTGTACAATCTAGAGGAAAGCCCAGATGTACTCTATCCTTTTTTTTTTTTTTTGACATATATGAAATCTAGTTGTTTTTTCTTTTCCTCTTCCCTGCATGCACACAGTTTTGTGAAAGAGATATGAGCTGTGTTTAAATTCACACACCTTGGAGCAGTTCCATCAGAGCGCTCTGTTGAACTGTTTCCCCAGGATTTGAACTCCTCACGCTGATTATTGAATAAACTCCTTCACCAACATCACCTAGACTCGTTATTTCAGTTGACAAGTATGACTCAGGAATTTGCATTCTTTTAAGTTTCTCAGAGAATCTGAGGCAAGAAGCCTGTCATAGACAATCTTTAGAAACAGTCCTGGAATGTTCTGATTACAAATATGATGGATGACTCATCTTAGTCTTTCAGTCTTGGTTCACATTATATCCAGAAAAGCCTATGAAGCGGAGAGGGGAAAGGACATAAAGCCTCCCCCATTATTACCCATAGATTACTATAAATTACTATCTATTACTAGGCCTTATTTTTCTTCATAGGACTTATCACTTCCTGACACTGTGTAATCCATGTACTGTCTCTCTCTCTCACTAGATTGTAAACTCCATAAAGGCTGCTCCTTTGCCTATTTTGTTCACTGATGTATCCTCAGTGTGTAACGCAGTGCCTTGCATGGTGATGGCGCTTTAAAACATATCTGAAGGAATGAATTGCCCAATAACCCAGCATTTCAGATTGAATTCTGAGACAGCTACAGAATGGCAAATTTCCATTCCTTTTCCTATGAGTTAAGATTCACTGTTAATAACTTGGATAGGTGGATACCTACGGGACAGTTACGAGATTAAGGACAAGTACTGTGGATAGTGAAAGGTGAAGAGCCCCACTACCAGGAGAGAGAGAAGGAATAATAAAAAAGAAAGCACATCTCAACTCAGCAGGTAGCTGGAGCTGGAATCTTTGAAATGGTGGCAGCTTGCAAGGGTGACAGTCCTACAGACAAATACAAAGGTTCTTCTCCACGACATCCCTTAAGGATCTCACTTTCCATCTCTATATTCCCCTCCATTCTTAGAGACTAAGATTCTTGTCTTCCTTTTTGTGCTATTTATTCTGAGAATGCTTTTTCTTTTCTGCTCTGCCCAGTCTAGGTGCAGTTATTGAGTCTCTAATCCCACACAATTTGGAGGGAGACAACTGTTTTTTACAACTGCCTTCCTATGGCTCATTCCCTTCAATGGCAAAATACTCTTGAGAGTCCATTAGCTCATCCATTCACTTTCCAAATCAATATCTAATTTGTTTTTATTTTTCCGTGCTGGGAAATATAAAATCATGTAAACTGGTGCTCTCCAATATAACTTTCTGGGCTGACGGAAATGATGACAAATTTCTCTCAGTATGTACATACTTCTCAGCCATATAGTTAGCTACAAAGTTTGCTCACTGTCTGTGCTGTCCAGTGAGGTAGCCATTAGTCACATATGGCTACTGAACACTTGAAATGCGGTTTAGTGCAACTGAGGAACTGATTTTTTATTGTTTTAAAAACTTTAAAATTTAAATAGGAGAGTTAAGACATGCGCATTAAAAAAATAATTCATGCGTATCCTAAGGTGCTTAAAGTCCATTAAGAAGAGTCCTTGCCCGCCCTCAAAATAATATACCACTTGAATAAAAAATTATCATAATCCTCTGAACCAATTGCTCCATATCTGCTATGGACTAAATATTTGTGTCCCCCCAAAATTCATACATTGAAGCCTAATCCCAAATGTGATTGTATTAAGAAGTGGGACATTTGTGGGGCTGGCCCGGTGGTGTAGCGGTTAAGTTCACGCCTTCGGCTTCAGTGGCCTGGGGTGTGCCAGTTCGCATCCCGGGCACGGACTTACACACCGATTGCCAAGCCATGCTGAGGCGGCATCCCACATAGAACTAGAAGGACCTGCAACTAGGATATACAACTATGTACTGGGGCTTTGGGAAGGAAAAAAGAAAAAGAGGAAGATTGGCAACAGATGTTAGCTCAGGGCCAAACTTCCTCAAAAAAAAAAAGAAAGAAAAAGAAACTCTACCAAGATCCCTTATCCTAAAAAAAGAAAAAAGGGGGGGACATTTGAGAGGTAATTTGGTCATGAGGGTGTGAATGGGATTAGTGCCCTTATAAAAGACATCCCAGAGAGCTCCCTTGCCCCTTCCCCCATGTGAGGACACAACAAGATGACTATCCTCTATGAACCAAGAAGCAGGCACTCAATAGACACCAAATCTGCTGGCACCTTGATCATGGACTTTGCAGCTTCCAGAAGTGTGAGAAATAAATTTCTGTTTTTATACACCACCTGTGGTGTTCTCTTGCAGCAACCAGAAAAGACTAAGCAATGTCTATTTTACCTAGTGTAGGTCTTTACATCCTCTCACTGCATTAGCTGGTGTGTAAAGGTACCACTGAAAGATAATCCAACTACCTCAACGCTCTCCTCAAGAAACCATGGGCTTTCTCTGTTTTGGTCACCACTGTATCCTCAGCTCCTGGAACAGGATCCAGCACAAGGAAGTATTTGACAAACAGTAAATGAACGAATTGATTCAACCTAAACATGTTGTTTCATAAGTCCCTCTCCATAATACAAACTTCTAAGAGTTATGGTAGCCATCACGGTTTTCAATTAATGCTTCACCCTGGCCTGGGGAAAGTGAATTGATATATACATGACTTACATCCCACCAATCCAATAGTAGCCCTTTCCGGGTTTTTCATTCAAAGCAACATTCCAGATACAAATTATCTTATGTTTTAAAAATTCATCTACTTATTTCTTCCACTTAGTTGGACCAAGATTCTTTTATTCTTTTAGTTGACACACTAGAGCAACTGATGTGTTTGTGTTTGGGTTAACATTGGATTATGCCTCTGTATCAACGCATATATTGAATAGGATATTAGGCATTCCCGGTCTCAGCATTTATACAGTTTCTCTCAGTATATACTTTTCAGCCATAATATGAGCTAGAAATTTTTGCTCAACCCTTTTCCACACAGAATGTCTCCTGAGTTTTTTCTACTGGTTTTCTGTAACATAAAATAAGACATAATTGACCACTGAAGGCACAACCACATTCACTGCATTCATAAGGTTTCTCTCCTGTGCAAATCCTTCTGAGGGGGCACATCTAGCCACAGGCTGTCCCACTATGACTACATTCCTATCTGCTAGGAGCCCACTGATGTTTAAGGATGTCTGAGGGGCTACAGAAGGCACGTGCATAGTCACCGAATTAACAAGGTCTTTCTCCTGCAGGACAACACTAGTCTGTGATGAGCTGTGATTCTCTGAGGGAGGATTTTCCACCTTGACTGAATCTCCACGTTTCTCTCTTGTGTGTATTCTCTTATGTTTAACAAGGCAAGACATGTAAGCAAAAGCTTTCCCACATTCATTGCAGATATAGGGTCTCTCTCCTGTATGAGTTCTTTGATGGACAATGAGCTTTTGCTTCGTAGTGAAGGCTTTCCCACAGTCACTGCATTCAAAGGGTTTCTCTCCTGTGTGAATTCTCTGATGTTTAATGAGACCCGACTTTTGGGAACAGGATTTTCCACATTCACTGCACACAAAGGGAGTCTTTCCTGTGTGAAATCTCTGATGTGCTATGAGGCATGTCTTCTGGATGAAGCCTTTTCCACATTCATTGCATATATAAGGTTTCTCACCTGTATGAATTCGCTGATGTACAATGAGATTTCCCTTCTGGATGAAACCTTTCCCACATTCACTGCATATATATGGTTTCTCTCCTGTATGTGTTTTCTGATGTATATTGAGCCGGGATTTCTTGAGAAAGGCTTTGCCACACTCAGGGCATTCATAAGGTTTTTCTCCTGTATGCGTTCTCTGGTGTTCAGTGAGCATGAACTTTCTGGAGAATGCCTTCCCACACAGACTACATTGATGGGGTTTCTCTCCTGTATGAATGATCTGATGATCAGTGAGCCAAGACTTCTTGATAAAAGCTTTCCCACATTCACCGCATACATGAGGCTTCTCTATTTTTTGAGGTTTCTGATTCCTGGTGAATTGGGACTCAGTGCCTATGAGTTTTCGGCTTTCAGGGAATTTAGTGTCAGTATGAAATTGTTCACTGTTAGCATGGAGAAAGGATTTCCCATCTCCACTAAGCTCAGCAGGGTTCCTTATTTCACAGCTTCTGCTCTGATTAAGTAAAGTTAAATTTGATTTCATACTTTGTCCATGTAAGTCAAATGTGTCATGATCTTGCCTTAACCCAAAATGTGTTCTGTTCTGATGAACAGAATTTTTAAAGGTGTTACGTTCATTCCATTGTTCCAGTCTATTCTCCAGGCTTTCACTCTGTAAGTGTTCTGGCAGATGATCATCAACTTCCCAGATTTCTAGAAAAGAAAAGAACAATGAATTCATCCATCATCTTTATTTGGAAGAAAAGTAGTTTAAAAAATACCTTGATGTGAGGTATCTTTTTAGTGATGACTCTATGAAATGAGTGTAAATAAAACTTCATATTTAATGTTCCCTGCACATTGGAAAAAACAATAATATAAACAAACCAAAAGGAAAAAGTAGTTAGTGTAAAAACAAGGTTGGATAATTCACAATGAATAAATACAGATTTGGCTGCTTTCTAAACAAGGTCTTGCAAAACATGTAGAGACTGTAAAATACAAGCAATTTACTGTGAGCTGGAGGGCCACCTCCTCCAAACTGGTGAGGGACACACTCATTCAGTGCACACATCCTTACTGATGACCACGTGTACCAGGCATCGTGGTGGCATTGGGGACACACAAGTGGATTCCTTATGTTCACAGAGCCTGCATTGCAGTTTGGTAAAACCACTTAAAGGGCAAAGATGGCACAAGGAAAACAGGTTGTGAAAACTGGTGGGAAGGAGCCATGGAGAGCGGGGAGAGAGACAGGAAACCAAGTTACATTGTGGAGGAAGCCCGGCCTCGCTGGTGGATTCGCTGCTGTGGTTGGCATGGGGAACTAAAGATACTGACACAGCTCCAAGCATATCTAACTTATACTCTCCAAAACAGAACTCCTGACTTCCCACCCCAAATCTCCTTCTCCACATATCATCTCCTTCACAGTAAATGACAACTCTACTCTTTTCATTAACCATGACAAACTTCTCGGCATCACCCATCATCTGTTTCTCGTGCTCACACACGGTATCTTCTTCAATGATAAACCCTGCCTGCCCTCCTTATAGATATACCCAGAACTGGACCAACCCCACCCCTCCACCCAGGTTGAAGGCAACATTCTCTCTTCCATCAGGTTTTGCAATAGCCTCTTACGTGGCTTTCCTACTTGCATCCCTACCCCCTCCTGTCTACTTTCTACACAGTACCCAAAGGGATTCTTAGAAAATGCAAGTTATTTCATGTCATTCCAATACTCCAGGCCTCATGTTTTCTCATCTTATTAGGAGTAAAATCCTGATTCCCTGAAATGGATTACATGACCGGCCTTACTCTCCCCTCCCCCTGCTGCTACTGCCTCTTTGGTCTTATATCTAATTATGTTCCTGACAGCACTCTGAGCTCTATCCACACAGGATCTTTAATGTTTCTCAGACACATTCATGCCTTGGTCTTTGAAACTGGCGATCCTTTCTACTTGGAACACTCCTAACTCAGCAGCTGACTGAGTTTCCAGAAAGAGCAGCCCCAGCCCCAGCACCTACTGTTCCATTATGCTGACTAAATTTTTATCCCAGCACTTTTCACTCCCTAGATAAAGTATTTCTTTATTTTGATTAATTTTTTGACTCCTTCTCTTAGAATGAAAGCTCTTGGTCTATTTGTATGCTTTTTCTCACTGCTCTTACCTTCTAGCATACACTTGGCTATCAAAAAATTAATTTTTAAAGGAATAAATCAAGGAAGCAATCACATATGGAACACATTGGGGAGAGTTTAGGAAAGAAGATGGAAATCTATCTCTTTGTGAGCAAGATGATATATCATGGAGATCACGGAAAGAAGAAGAATTTTAATGACATATGACAGGTAATGGAGTTAACTGAGACTTAATGTCACCAGAATACGATGGGAAGAAAAACAAAAATTTTAGAGAAATGAATACAATGGTAATGTCTACGATGAACGAGAAGAAAGTTCAAAATGAGTAAATACGCAAAGGTAGTAAATCGAAGTAGGCATGAGTTATGATCTGGTTTAGGCTGGAACTGAGAATGTAGGATGTTAAAAATATCCTTCCTAGTTAAAAATTCTTCAGGAACAGCAGACTGCTTTAAAGAAGGAAGCTCTGCAGGTAGGAACATTTGAGGTAATGCCTGGATGGCCAGGATGTAAGATGCACAGGAGTAAAGGAGAACCTAAACTTACAGGGGTTTTCTAGGGAAGAAGATGAGTCTAGTTCCTTGAAGTTACTGGGAACTCAGGAGAGTTGCCATCAAGATGAGTAAATTATATGGAACTAAAGGCTGTGGTGGATCACACTGGGGAGATGTCAATTTGCGAGTCTTCCCCAGTGAACAGAAGGAGCTTAGCTTATTAGAATGAAGAAAACTTTGAAGGGTTAGGAGATCATTTGAGAAAATGGAAAACAGAACCTTTGGAGAAGCTCAGAGTGGGGAAAAGAGAACCTAAGAGAAAAAGAGAATCAGACAAAGGCACAGTGAAGACCAGTTTCCTTTGGGGACACAGCATCCAAGATGGGGTGGAGGTAAGGAAGGGAAATCAACATTAGCAATGGGGCAGAAACACGTAGTAGTCAGAAAACAGTGAGGAATTCAAAGTTTCCTCTCTGGAGAGAGGCCTTGGAAAGTGGAATTTCATAGCAAGGAGATGGAATAATATGAAGAAGAAGGGAAAGATTTGAGAATCCTAGGAAGAAGAAAACTATGCAAACAAACAAAAAGTCAAAATGTAAATAACATACAGAAGGAACAGATCGAAGAAGAGATAAAGGGATATATTTTTCTCTAAACTCCTACAAAGAAAAAGAGGTCTCACGTGGGGAGAGACACGCCTGGAGGCTCTGTTTAGCTATCCTTAAACTCCCTTCGCCACTGTGACTCTTCTCTGAACGACTAGAATGTGATTTCCACAGCCTGCCCTTGTGGGTTCTCTCACTCACGTGAATGGGTTCCACAGTGGATTTCATCTTCCATTATCCATGGTGGTTCTCCTTGAACCAACTTGGAGAGTGTGTCTGGTCTGCTGGCTTGATAACCTGCGCATGGGAAATGACGGAAGAGTTAGACACATTGAATTGGACATAGGGTCTGTGAAGACCACAGAATGTTGGACTTGAGGACAAAATAATTTTCACATTATAAAGGAAAAACACACCCCTCTACCTGTCTCCTCTACTGTCAATACTCTACTACACTACTTCACTTCTGACACTAGATATGTGGGTTTTCCACACATCAGTGAATTCTGCGACACCAGCAGGCACTCACTGGGTGTCCTACAATTTAACTCAATTCTGACACTATCTGCCTGGCGCTAGCATCAGATATGGCAGCTTAGGGGTTCACTCCCACAAAACTGCCTCCCTCGACTTCAGACTCCAATTGCAAGGCCAGGTTGTTTCCTGGGCTTCTGATAGACCATGTATAGATCAGAGGTTCCCATGACTACCTTTCTTGGGTTCAATTAATTTGCTAGAGCCTCTCACAGAACTTGGGAAAACAGTTTACTTACTAGATTACCAGTCTATTATAAAAGGATACAACTCAGGAACAGACAGATGGAAGAGATATACAGTACGAGGTATGTGGAAGGGACACAGAGCCTCCATGCTCTCTCTGAGTCCACCTTTCTCCCAGCACCTCCACGTGTTCACCAATTCGAAAACTCTCTGAACCTGTCCTTTTGGTTTTTATGGAGGCTTCATTAAGTAAGCACGATTGATCAAATCATTAGCCTTTGGTGATTGATTCAGCCTCCTGCCTCTCTCTCCTCCCCAGGATGGGGGTGGGACTGAAAGTTCCAACCCTCTAAGCATGGTTAGCTCCCCTGGCAACCAGCTCCATCCTTAGGTTATCTAGTAGCTTTCCAAAAATCACCTCAGTAACATAAACTCAGATGTGGTTCAAAGTGTCTTGTTACATGAATAACAAAAGACACACATTTCACCTTTATCCTCTTATAACTTAGAAAACTCCAAGGATTTTAGGAGCTCTGTACCAGAATTGAGGATGAAGACCAAATATGTATACTTCTTAATATAAATCACAATATCACACATATCTACAAAGTAAACACTTCTATCTCAGGAGAAGGGAGAATATACCCATTTCTCTGGGGCCAGAGAGAAGACTGAGAATCTACCTCTTCAGAGCACCACAGACACTCCAGAGCTTTCAGAAGCTGAAAATGGAAAGGCCACTGACTGGGGACCCTCTGAGTGACATGAGGGAGCTGTCCTCACCCACTGACACCAGGTTGCTGTAGTTCTCCAACATCACGTCCCGGTACAGATCCTTCTGAGCAGGGGCCAGGAGCTGCCACTCCTCCCTGGTGAAGTCCACAGCCACATCGTCAAATGTCAGGGATTCAGTGTTGTTTAATGAAGTGATGTCCTTTTGATGATATGGAAGAAATGTTAAAGGTTTTCTGATCATTTCCACTTTATCGGCTGTATCTATATATCTAGTGGGTTGTTTGTTTTTAATGCACTATGGAAAAAGCAAAAGCCTAATAAAATATTAGGATACGACTAATTGTACTCGTGTAGTCAGTCATCCATCCATTCATCCAATTAGAAGTTTCTATAATGTGTAAGAGTTAAATCTTCTTGTTAACCTAGAACACCACATTCATATATATATGACAGACATAGATGCCAATGACATCAGGATGACTGAATCTTCATAGCCAATCAATCAGAAGAATCTTCTGTGAAGAGATTCAAGATACCAGAGTTATCAGAAACTACATGTTTAATAAGAATGTTTAATATATTAAAAGGAATAAAAGAAACTATCAAAAATGGTTAAAGAAATATGAAATATATATATATATATATGCACACAAACATATACTAAAAGAGAGGTTATCAGCATATTAGATACATAAAGGGAAGAACTTGTTTCTACACTACTACTCACAACACTTGTGATGTGTGGGTTTTTTCATATCAAGCAACTTTTGGTGGACTGACTGGATATCCTACAACTTAACTCAATTCTGACACTAACTGCCTGGACAAAGACCCCACAGGTTAAGGGCTCAGTCCCACAAGACTGCCCCCACTTCAGATGCCAATTGCGAAGTCCAGGTTGTTACCTGTATTTCTGACCAACTGGCCATAAATTAGAGGTTCCCATGATCCCCTCCTCAGGTTCGATTAATTTGCTAGATCAGTTCACAGAACTCAGAGAAACATTTACTTAAGTTTACCCGTTTATTAAAGGACATGATAAAGGATACAGATGAACAGCCAGACGAAGAGATACATAGGGCAAGGTCTAGGAGGGTCCCGAGCACATGAGCTTCTGTCCCCGTGGAGTTGGGGTGCATCATTCTCCTGGTACGTGGATATGTTCACCAACCTGGAAGCTCTCTGAACCTCAGACTACTGGGATTTTATGGAGGCTTCATCACATAGGCATGACCCATCATTAACTCCATTTCCAGCTCCTCCCTGCTCTCTGAAGAATGGGTGGTAGGGCTTAAAGTGCCAAGCTTCTAATAATGGCTTGGTCTTGCTGGTGACCAGCTCCCATCCAGGAGCCCACCAACAGTCACCTCATTAGAACAAAACACACCGTTATCACCCAGGAAATTCCAAGGAATTTAGGAGCTCAGTGTCAGGGATGGGGTCAAAAACCAAATATTAGAACAAGAAATGCTCCTAGTGCTCTTATCGCTTAGGAAATCACAGAGGTTTAGGAGCTCTGTGCCAGGAACTGGAGGCAGAGACCAACATATATATTTTCCATTATTTCAAAAAAACTAATATAAGACTTAAATGTTAAATTAAAAAAAGCCCTATAGAATATATTTATGACATAAATTAAATGCCAGAAATGAAAACATTGATAGTTTGGTGACAAAAGTTTTAATCAAAAATTAAAACTTCCATATGGAAAGAACCAAGTGACAGTCTGGAGAAAAATATTTGCAACATATAAAGAAATGATCAATATACAGCGGATATACACAACTCCTATAAATCAGTAAGACAAAACAGATTTTTTTAATGAGCAAGGATAACGACAGGTATTTCAGAGAACAAATAATCTAACTGACTAAGAAAGACACAGGAAAGATCTCAAATGCACCAGAAATTAGAAGGATGCAAAAGAAAGCAAGACAAAAGAATATCTGACCACCTGAAACGAACATGTCAATTATATCTCAATAAAAAAAGAATATTTGCCTATTTGTATTGCTGACAGTTATGAAATTTGCTATCATCATCATAACAAATATTAGAGATCAGGGACACCGAACACTCTTACATAGTACGTACTATGAGCCAGGTACTCTTTTAGATGCTTTCTATGGATTAACTCATTTTATCCACACAAGACCCTATGAGGTAGGTCCCATTATCATCTTTCCGTTTTACAGATGAGAATATTCAGATATAGAATAGCTAATGATGTGTGCAAGGTCACAGAGCTAGCAAGTGGCTCAGAGGCAACACTTTTAGACATTATGTTACAATGGCCACAAACTAGAATGGTCACTCTGGACAGCAATCAGACATATTCATTAAAATGTGAGATGAGCACACCCAGCAACTGACTTCTCTGTAGCCACCTTCAAAAACACTCATACAACTTCATAAAAAGGGCTTAACAAGGATTTGTACTGTTGCATGGTTTGTAATAATAAAATTACCTAAATGTTCATCAACAGGAGAATAGCTAACACACTGCACACATCACTTAAGAGGAAAGTACAGCGGGTCAAAAAGAAAAAGGTAGATTGGTATGTACTAACAGGAACCAATGCAAAGACACTTAAAAGGGAAAAAACAAGAACAATAAATATTATCAGTATGATTCTTCTTAAAATAACAAAAATAGGGCTGATCTGGTGGCATAGCAGTTAAGTGCGCACGCTCCACTGCGGCAGCCCAGGGTTCGGATCCAGGGTGCACACGAACGCACTGCTCATCAAGCCATGCTGTGTTGGCGTCCCATATAAAGTAGAAGAAGATGGGCACAGATGTTAGCCCAGGGCCAAGCTTCCTCAGCAAAAAGAGGAGGATTGGCAGATGTTAGCTCAGGGCTAATCTTCCTCACCAAAAAAAATAAATAAATAACAAAAATAACAACAAAAACTATGTCTACACAGAAAACAGTATAGAAGATATAGATTAAACTGATAACCCTCATTCCTTCAGGAAGAAGGATCACATAAGAGTGTATTGGTCAGGGCCGGCCCTGTGGCTTGGTGGTTAAGTGTGCGCGCTGCGATGCTGGTGGCCCGGGTTCGGATCCCGGGTGCGCATCGAGGCACCACTTCTCCGGCCATCCTGAGGCCGAGTCCCGCATACAGCAACTAGAAGGATGTGCAGCTACGACATACAACTATCCACTGGGGCTTTGGGGGGAAAAAAAATAAAATAAATAAAATCTTTAAAAAAAAGAGTGTATTGGTCAAAGAGTCTTGGACTTTATCAATGCTGCTTAGGTTTTTTTACATTGAATATATTTATTCTTTTTTTAAATATGCTTTTTTACTTTTCATTTTAGATAATTATAGATTATCATATGCAGTTGTAAGAAATAATGCACAGAGAACACACAGACCCTTCACACAGTTTCCCCTGGTGGTAAAATCTTGCATAACTTAGTACAATAGCACAGCCAGGAAACTGACACCGATACAAACCTTATTCACATTTTATAAACCAATGTTACTGCAATAAACAAAAAATTAAATAAATAAATAAATAAAAGATTACATGCACTCATTTCTGTGGGTCTCTGTTTACTTAACTCGATGCAATCTTATTACATGTGTAGGTTCCTGTGGTCATCGCCAGTAAGACACAGCACAGCTCCATTACAAAGACCCCTCACCAGACCCTTGACAGCCACAGCCATATTCTTCTACCCCCATGCTCAACCCTTGGCAACCACTAATTCACTTAAATTTCAAAAAGCTACAAACTGTATGATTCCATGTACATAACATTCTTGAGATGACAAATCTATAGAGATAGAGAATATATTTTTTCAAGTTACAGACAACCAACTCCCCCCATAAAAGAGAACATACATTTGATTATTGTTCCTTCATCATTTTTTAGATTAAATACTTGGTTCTCTCCCAACCTCCAGTGACAAATGCATTTTAGTTTTTTCAAGTATCACTATGAACTGATGCAATTTTATAGTTAATGTTTTTCAATCAATTGCAGTCACTGGTCTTTGGATGCTCAAAATGGACCATCTTAGGCCAAAGGAGAGTCCCTTCAAGTTGGCTGCTAAGTTTTCAGAATATGATTCCATTCATGTAAAAAATATCATAACAGATGTATATGTTTTCATCTACAAATACATACATACACTCATACTTTCCTCAAAACACATATAGACATAGATCCACACACAGACACCATAACAGGAAATAAACATTACTAAATATTTACAAAAGAGAATTAAGAAGAAAGTGTATGAAGAAACTTATTTTTTGGTATGTGTACTTTGTTATGATTCCAGTCTTTAAATATATCCTTTAGTCAGTTGCGTAATTAATAAAAATAAAGGCAATATAAGAAAAAGTAGATAAGAATTTGGATTTGCACATGGATACCAAGAGTTAGTCATATTGCAGAGTGTGAGGAAACATTCCCTATAGAACTGCTCTCACTTCAGACACCAGCTGTAAGCTCAGGGGTCCCCAGGATCACCCTCACTTCAGAAGAGCAGGCTACAAAATCCAGGGTCCCCATGACACCCTCCGGAGCAATAACTAACTAGAACGACTCACACAACTAAGGAAAGTGCTACACTTATAATGAAAATTTTATTAAAGAGGAAGGGTATAAATTAAAATCAGCCAATGAGAGAGATGCATATGGCAGAGTCTAGGAGGGCACAAACATAAAGCTCTCCCTGTGGCGTCCTGGATGGTGTTACCTCCTCCCAACCATGACATGTGACAATATGCAGATTAGTGCCAACCAGGGAAGCTAACCTAAGCCTTGGTTGTGCAGAGTTTTTATTGGGGCTTGATGAACTATTGCCCGCATGACTAAACTTCAGTCTCCAGCCCCTTCTGGAAGTTGGGTTAATAACTCTGGCTGCCACTTAGGGTTGGCAGTGATACAGCATGGCCCAAAGCCGCCATCATAAATCACATTTTAGATTGTCCAGTGGTCCAAGCCCCCAGGCAAACAAAGACACTTCTATCAGGCAGGACATGCCAGGGGCCTAGAGATCACCCCCCAGTAGCCAACAGCAAAGGCCAGATCTCTCTTTACATAAGGTCACTTCTTCACTACACAATGAGGAAAGACTGCATTTTCTAAGACAAGGGGAAGGTCTAAAGCAAATCCTGTAAATTCCACCAACCCAAGTCCTTCCCAGACAACAGTACTTTCAACTCTCCACTTTCAAGTCTGTATTCACACACCAGTTCAGCTACCTGTTCACTGAGAACCATTTGAAAGCCCTGCAATCCTTCCAATTTTCTAGGATGTTTAGGTTTTATTTCTGGATAAATCCAGACCACCACAAGGTTGAAATTAACTTGCATTGGTCCCATTCTCACTGAGTTCAATTAGTCTATTCCTACAGGGAATGAGTAATCCTTTAAGAAACAGCCACAGGGAATCCGCTTCTGCATTATAAGGAGGCTGCTGGTCAGGACACCACCCACCACATCATGTCTAGAAAGAACCATGATAAACGTTTCCCAGGACGTAATCTGCTTTCTCCTCAAAACCAGTATGTACCATGTAAATTACGATTCTCTTGTGGTGCTGGCTGTCAGAGAGATTAGATGCAAGTGGACAGCTGATATAACCCACAGGACCCTCTAGTCATGCATTATATCCCAAAATTAGCAATTGGGGTCAATCTTATGAACTATATTCCTCATCCCACTTTGCCTGGTGTTGAGTTTAAAAACTAACTTTATTGCTCCCCAGATCCTGCTTCTTGAAATTTATACTTTTCAGATTAATGGAAGTGATTTTTCACAGGCCTCTACAAATCCACTAGAGGACAAAGGAAAGAATAAAACAATGCAAAAGTCACCTGGGCCTGGATCATTTTCTCCTCTTCTCTGAAAACAGCTGGCAATGGGGAGGCTCTGTCTTTGTGTCTTCCGGATCTGCTCTAAATTTCTGTTCAGAAATCTCAGTCCTCGGTCAAGTGTGTCCCAAGAAATACTGACACCGAATCCTGTAACTTCTTCCTCCTTCGCATGATTCTTTTGCTCCTGCGGAGTCAGGACCTGTGGGCTGAGGAGAAAATTCAATCTGAGTGGTGCATTTCCTCTGGGCCCAGATGCCTCACTGTTTCTGAGCCCTCACCTTAACATAACACCTGCAATATTGATAAGTGTACCTTAAGAAGATATTATTCTTCTGGCCAATAAAGCCTAAGGTTCTGAATGTGGTGGAGGTATTCCTTTACTCTATAAAGTTTAAGTAGGGTGACTGTCAAAGATGACCAGAGAAATGAGATCCACCACAGCACCATGCCTCAGGAGCAGGTGAATCTCAGGCAGATGAACTATACCAAACAGACCATAAGGAAGGAGAGGATCTGGGCACTATTTTCCTTTAAACCATGTGTGCCCACGTACCTCTTCAAATGTTTTTATACACCCCATGAGGACACACATTTCAGTTTGAAAACCAATGAACTGGGCAAATCAGAAGCACTGTCTTCATAAGCAATAATGATAATATCTTAGGAGGTTTTAAATACACAAAAAACAAGAGGACACAATATTGTAGATAAACTGGAAGGCGGTAAATGAAGTTGAAGTGCTCTAAGATCTCTGTGTTGTTGGAGAAGAATGTAAAAGTACTAATTAACAAAAGAATTTGAGAAAGAAAGGTTCCATGCTGTATGGAATCTTTAGTGTCACGATGACTAACAATTGTCTTAAAGTACATAATTTCCATGCTAATGGAAGGCAGAAATATAATAGTAAGAAATTCAGCCAAAACAAGGCAAAAAAAGAGAATAAGGAACAGAGAACAAGTGGGACAAATATCACGCACTTAGATGACTTTTAAAACAAAACACACTAAGAATTATAGTAAGTATAAACAGAACAAGGATTCTAGTTAATTACCTTAAATACAAATGCTTCAAAACTGTGAGACTGGATTAAAATTTAAAACTCAATAACACACTATTATAGGTGACATGTCTGAAATATAATGATATGGAAAGCTTGAGAATAAAAAGTTAGAAAAAGATATACCATGGGAAGAGTAACCATAAATAATCTGGTATAACTATATACTCAGAAAAAATGGACCAGAAAACCCAAAAATTACTACAGAGAAAGAGAAACAAAGCTAACTGGTAAGAAGTTGAATTCACCACATTATAAAAATTTGCAATTTCTGTGCACCTAACAATATAGCATTGAAATGTATATAGCAAAAATGGACCAAAACACAAGAAGAAATAAACAAATGCAGACTAATAGAAGACTTCAACACACCTCTCCCTGTAACTGACAGGACAAACAGGCCATCGATAAACAAAATAAAATTTATAAACAATATAATTTTGAAGAATATCAAAAATATTTGATAAGTAGGAAGAAATACTGAGAGAAATTTTAACAGACTTAAATAAATGGAAAGACAGTCTATGAAGATTACTCAGAAAACCAAACATTTTAAAGTGTCATGTCTCCAAAATATGTATATAGATCCAATGAAATCCCGATCAAAATCCTAAACTGAAAGCTATATACATCTTTAAAAAAAAACTTTGGAAGACTTGCTCAATCAGTTATGAGGACTTAAAGTTACACTAATGATGACAGCACAATATTAGTACAATAATAGACAAATAGGACAAAGGAACAAAATTAAATGCCTATAAACAGACTCATAGATATAAAAACTTGATGACAAAGGCAGCACTTCAGAGAAGAGGGTAAGGATGTCTTTTTAATAAATGGGGCTGGGACAATCAGATTTCCATGCTGGGGGTGGAGAGACGGGGAGAAGAAGGTTGAATCCACCTCACAAAACAAACAAAAATCATTTTGGGGGTCAACTGTCAATCTCACTGGGAGAGGCAAATCGATAAAACTTTAAGAAGATAATACAGGAGAATCTCTCAATGATATTAGTGTAGGGGAAGATATTTTAAACATACCACATACAGCACATTATAAAGCAAATTATATTCTGCTGGAGGAAGGGTAAATGGTACAACCACACTGGAAAACATTTTGGCATCATCTATTTAAATTGAAGCTATACACACCCTAAGACACAGCAATTTCACTCTGAGGTATACATCTAAGCTATTTATCCTCCACTCCCAAAAAAATAAGGGCACATTTGAACCAGAAGATATGGACAAGAATTTTCATAGCAGCATTATCCATAACAATACAAGTTTAACTGCAAAGAATACAAGTTTAATTAATAGTAGGAAAAACTGCCATACACTCAAACAATGGAATGCTATCGTGAAACTACTACCTTGGCCCAGCTTGCAAGCTAAGAAGTTGTTAAAGGATGGTGAAACAAAAACAAAGAAGCAGGGGCCGGCCCAGTAGCCTAGTGGTTAAGTTCAGTGCACACAGTTTCAGCGGCCCCAGTCCAGTTCCCCTACACCACTCGTCAGCAGCCATGCTGCGGGGGCGACCCACATACAAAATAGAGGAAGACTGGCACGGATGTCAGCTCAGGCTGAATCTTCCTCAAGCAAAAAGAGGAAGATTGGTGATAGACGTTAGCTCAGGGTGAACCTTCCTCAGCAAAAAACCCACAAAAAACAAAGCATATGTGAGAGACCCTCTGTGGCCTGCAATTCCTAAAATATTTACTCAGTAAACATTATAGACTAAGTCTGCCTGACCCTTGCTACAGAGCAAAAAAAAAGACACCTATATAAAGAGACCTATGTGCAAAAACATCAATGATTCTTACAAATACTGAGCAAAAGAAGCCTGACATAAAAAAATGCATGATCTACAATTACATTGATACACAGTTCAAAACAGGCACAACTAAATAAAATATAATGATTAAGAATGATTAATTATATGATAAAACTATAAAGAACAGCCTTAAAGCACTTTGTATCGAGAGCAGGATGGTAATTACCTTTGAGTGTGATGATGTGATATAATCAGGAAGAGACTCACAGAGCACCATTGGGGGGTTGGCAATGTCCTGTTTCTTGACCTGGGCAACGACTATTTATAGATATATTGCTTTTATACTGACGAACTTGCAGATCTTTTAAATTAACAAAAAAATGGAAGAGCTCAACAATACCAAAAGCTTGCTCTTTAAAAACATCGATAAAATATAGGCATTTGTTGTGAGACAGATCAAAAGAAAACTGGTGCAAATAAAGAATATAAGGAATTAATGGGACACATAAATCAGACAAAACAAACATTTTTTTGGTCTTGAAAGAATACCATGAATGTTTTTATGTTATTAAGTTTGAAATCCTGGAAGAATTTATAATTCTATGATCCTAACCTCCTAGGAACTGTTAACTCCAGACAATACAGCAGATGAATTTTACGGGTGGGCAACAAGACAAAGATGTCCACTAACACCCCACTTTTCAGCTTTGTATTGCAGAGGTGAACCAAAGCACTGACATCAGAATAAGTTACAAATATTAGAAAATAGGGCAGAAAATTAAGGTTATATTCAGACAATATCATCATCAACATGGAAAAAAGAGATTCAAAGAATTCCTTATTTAAGAGAGAAAACGCTCCCCCAGAAACCAATGTGAAAGATGACATGAGTGGAGCCATGTTAAAATAGAGCCGGAGCAGCCATTTCAGAGGCATTGCCTTGCACATCTTGTTTTCTTTATCTTCCAAACTGGACCAAACCACCAACATTCCAAGAAGTGAGTAAGAACAAGAATATGCTATTTGTAAGGACTGATGAAATTGGACTTTGCTGATGACTGAATCTCAAGCCAACCTGTGAAGTAGAAACCTAGCCTTACCTCATCTAGCACCAATGAGCTCTTATTCCTTAATACAACTTACCTCATCCTCCCTTTTTCCCATAAAAACCCTGAGCCCCTCTCCTGTAATCGGGACACTATTTGCATTTCTATCTGAATCTGTGCTCCCTGAACTGCAATTCTTTGATCCCAAATAAACACTTTGCCTCTTAAACGGGTTTCAGTTTTTGTAGGTTGACACCACTAAGCAGATTTTCACATATATAGCTGGCTAGAACTGCACCATACACCTAAGCTCATTACACAGAAATTCAATCACTAGCAGTGGGAACTGGAACCATCATGACTGACTAAGACCAACCAGAACTTACTAATAAACTGGGATATGGGTCACTTTGCCAGAAGCATGGATACTAAGCAAACCGGAGATTCTGTTAACAAAGTGTGAATGTACATTAGGCAAATAAGCAACAGTGTGCTATGCTATATATTAAGAGGTGAGTGCAGGCGTTGGCAAACATTTCCTGCAAAGGGGTAAATATTATACATGTTCGACTTTGAGAGTTAAGGTCTCTGCCACAAGGGCTTAATTCTGCCTTGGCAGGGCGAAAGCAGCCATAGATGATACTACATAACAGATGGGCGTGGCTGGATTAGTCCCTTGGTCTGCAGTTAGTCAATCCCTGATAAAAGGCTAAAAAACAGATGATTTCCAACTACTGCCCTGGGCTGTACCGTCTGCTGTCCCAACGGCCGACGTGGGAACCTATGCGGCCACAGCTTCAGCCCTCACAGCCTCTCTGTACTGCGGTACACTGATCACACACCGCCTTATTAACCTGGAACTTGGACCAGACACGCCCATATGATGACCATCCGCCCCCGCCCCAACATCACTGCGCCCCACATTAAATCCCAAATCTAAACCAGACACTGCGATCATGGTAAATACCACCTGCATCCTTTACAAACAGAGAGCTCCGCAAAGACCCCATACTCTGCCGGTCGGGACACGGTCGTTGATCTCTACAGACCCTTAATCGTTTTAATGAGCCCCTCTCTCCCGCAAGGTACCCCAACCACAGACAAGGCGTCACAGACTCCCCACTGGTTCCTCTCAAATACCTCCACCTCGCGCTCCCCCCACCCGACCCCCGCCAATAATTTCACAGGTCCACCCTACACCATTTCCACCTCGTAGACGTCACGTCCCCCTGTGAGAGACAAACCTGCCAGAGGACAAAACAAAAACCTTCAAGGGACAAACCACACTGACCTAATTTTCTCCAGACCCACAAGCGGAGTCCAAACGCAACACTTCCGCGAACCGCTTCCACATCTGAACGCGTCGCTCAGATTTTTCGTTCGCCTACGGCGGCCGAAGAGGGTCTGAGACGTTTG